CAGGGACCAAAATTTATTCCACTAGGCCCCACCTGCTAAAGGTTGCGGCACACCCAAGAGCTGAGGTCCAAGGTTTCAACACATGGGCCTTTTGGGGGCCATTCAAGACCCGAACTACAGTATGGTGGAAACAATACAATAACCGGTACTGGAATGGAGTTCTTGAGCTTCGTGAGTCTGCCGGTTTCCTAAGGTTTAAAGCTTGTGACAGGAAAGCACATTTTCACTGCAGTTTCACTGTAGACAGGAGAACATGAGAACGTGGAAAAGTTCCTGGGAACATCTCAACCTTGTGGACACAGGAAACCTGTAGAAACTATGGACATACTACCCACCAAAGCAGTCATTCATTGCTTGCGATCATATTCAATCAGGCCCGATCCTGTGGACTCTCACTGCCAACATTTAGACCAGTGATGCCAACAAAGTAGGTGTGCCGAGGTATGTGTGAGATATACACACATACACACCATTGAGAAGGCACATAGCAGCATGTCCGAGGTCTTGATCGGCTACAGCCATCTCAGTCACAAGATCCAGCATGCTAACATGAGGGTACTCTAGTGGTCTACACTGAGTGCTTCCAGGTTCTTGTTGTCTTGTTAAAAAGCTGAAGAAGCACACACAAATAGCGACCTAGCAAGGGTCTTATTCAAGAGCACGGTAAATATACAGAATAGACACACTGCTTTGAGAGAGCAGCAGGCGCCAAGCACGATTGCCCTGAGTTCCTTTGCAAAGCTTCATTTTGTGAGCCCACGCGGAGGGAGGAGTTAGTTGCCAAGGATGAGGCTTAGGTGATTTTGTGTTTCCACTGATGGGCTTGGGTTATATAACTCTTTGTTCTCTCAACATGTTCTTTCTCATGATGCATCTAATTTTTTAACCATATGTGTGTCCAATCACGCATAGACACAGAATGGTAAATAGGAGATTTTCCCTGAAAGCTCACTTGGTGGACACAGGTTGCCTCATTGCATGTGCACTGAATACCAGCCTGGTCTGAATCGGCTCACTGCCTGCAGTTCTAGGACATGTTCCATGTTTGACCACAGAGTGGGGGTGGGATCCCCAAAGGTTGTTAGGGAGTTGCTAGGGGTTACTAGGATTGACTGCTCTCTTCGTTTGGAGAAGGTTGTACACATAGCTCCATGCAGATGGGGGCCCCAGATTGCTAAGTTGCCTGTGAAAACTACCTGAGTGCCTTTGGGGACCACCAAGATGGTCTCTCCCTTTCCAAACATGCTGACTTCATGGAGCTATGTTCCTTGCGGTCCTCTATTAAGACAGGTCTGTAAGACAGGTCGCTCTCTTCTGTAAAATGATGCCGGTTCCTTTTTGGCTCTCTAGCTAAAGGACCGATCTTGGATACATGTATCTGTGATTACTCTATGCCTGAGGGTGTGGGTGGGGTAGGTAGTTAAGCCAAAATATTTTGCATCCACCGAGAGGAATATTTACTTCTTGAAGAACTTGAAGTGAACCCTGTTTTTAAAACATGAAGTTTGGATGGAACTCAATAACCTATTTTTTTGTCTTAATTTAACATTGTCTAAGGTTTAGAGATCTGGTTTTTCTGGAAAAGAATTTATCATTTAATTGTAGTCATACTTTAATTGGTGGTTAGCCTCCTAAGTGGAACAAGATTGTTAATGGCCGTAGTCTACTCATTATCCTAAAAGTGTCTAGCTGGAAGCCATTAAAAGAGGGTGGAGTATGTTGTGCTCCTAATTTAATTTCGTTCTGCCTGAATTTTACACATGTTCAGAATTTGGATAAACTCAAAAAACTCTTATTGTGTAATATTCCACTAAATGCATGCATCATGGGAATTGTAATCACTGAGCTCTTCATTCATTAGCTTTGCTCATTAAAAGGTTATTTTGCAACCACATCTTTGTTCCAGAAAAACCATGACCTTAACTGTCTGGAATAGTATAAAGTGTCTTGGTTCAAGAGTCAAGCTTGAGTGTGACCTCGGAATACTTGGTTTAAGATATTACAAACCAACTAAAACTGCAGCGTATTCTGTCTCTAACAACTAAAACGCTGCTTGTACAAACAGCATGCTAAGTTGTTATTGTTGTTCTAGACAAGATCTCACTTTATAGCTCTGATTGGCTTGGAACTTCGTATATAGACCAGGTTGGTCTGGAACTCTCTATGTAGACCAGGCTCATCTGGAACTCACAGAGATCTGTCTGCCTCTGCTTCTGGGATTAAATCTGTATAGCACCACACCCAGCTATGTGAACCAACTATTAAGCAGGGTTTTTTTTTTGTTTTGTTTTCCTTTTTGGTGCTTTTTTAAAGACAGGGTTTCTCTGTGTAGCTTTTGCACCTTTCCTGGAACTCAGACAGGGTTTCTCTGTGTAGCTTTTGCACCTTTCCTGGAACTCAGTGTAGCTCTGGCTGTCCTGGAAGTCACTCTGTAGACCAGGCTGGCCTCAGACTCACAGAGATCTGCCTACCCTGACTCCCAAGTGCTGGGATTAAAGTTTTGTGTCACTATGGCTCTACTTAATAAGCAGTTCTTAGCCATGACTTTTGCACTCTTGCCAAAATGTCCTGGTAAAATTTTAGTGATATAAAAATTACTTTAATTTCTGTTCATGTTGTAGCCTGAAGATCTCAAAGTCAGCCATTAATATCCTGAAAAAAATATCTAATTTGTGTCATCTAGAGAAATGTTGTTCGTGGTCAGAATTATGCAGATAAAAAACTTTGTTTTTCTGTTGAAGATCTCATTAGAAATGGAGTAGGGGAAGAAATTTTCTTTTTGAATTGTAATCAGCCATGGGCATGTCTGGTTTATTGACTCCATAAGTTACCTATGTTTTAGAACGAAGTCATGAACTCATGGGCTTTTGTAAACTCAGAGTTTCTCATTAACCATTATTATCTCTGTGCTCAAGTTATCACACCCTAACCAAGTGGGAGCTGGCTTCTCTTTCTTCTTGTTAGCAAAGCCCTTCCAAAACCAGACTCCAGATTTCTCTCTAGAACATCAGAGGCATGGTCTATTTATCTATTTTCCCTCTACCCCAAAGTATGGGATCAACTTCCCTCCTGATCCTCTTTTACTTTAAAAAAAAATTTAAGATTAAAATCTGGTGCTTAGAGTGAATCTGGGAAGCGATATTGGGTAATCGTGAGGCTTCAGTTCCTATCATTGGCTCATTCTGTTGGGATAGAGCTGAAAGTATATACAGCCATGCACTGCTCAATGATGGCAGTCACTGATGGACAGCATAGACGAACACACACACACCCTACAGCTTAGGTTTGTAATAGGCTGAAGCACCTAAGCATGTACACACTACAATGTTTGCGCAGCAAAGAACATGGTCGATGACTCATCTCCGAGAATGTACACTGCTAAGAAGAGACCCACAAAGGTCACAGGATCACACTGATTTTGCCTGTTTAATAGATCATACATTGTGTGATAGATTACCTTTCTAACGTAATTCTCATCTAATATTGTCTTTCTCCTAAACTGCCATCCCACATGAAGTTACTTGAACTACCGCTTTTCATTTCAAATGCTGTCTGTGCCTTTTTTTTCTGGTCCACTCTTTGCTGACTTGCTCAAGACCCCATCTCTGTTGTATCATAGCAACATCCTCCTCACCAATCTCCCAGCCCCAGCCTTTTGGAACCTTTTACATCACCAGGCTGCTTTCCTTTTTTGTAGTGGAGGAGGGTCTGTGCCTATCAAATCCAGAGCCTGCATATGTCAGCAAATGTTCTATCACTGAGCTACATCCCCAAGTCCATATTTTCATATTCTCTTCACACACCCCTTTTTTTCCCTCTCCCTCCCTCCGTCCTTGGATCAGGTCTCATTGTGTAGCCAAGGCTAGCCTCTATGTAGCCTAGAGTAGCCTCAGCCTTAATTTGCTATCCTCCTATTCTGTGTCCTGAGTATATCACACCGGCTTCCTTTTAAAATGTTTTTGAGTGGCTCAGCTTTGGAGATTGCACTGGAGCTCAGCCCAGCGTGACTGTACCAACCTGCATTCCCATCGAACCCATTAGTGTTTGCACCCCACTAAGAACTGGAACAGAGCCGGGCCACTCCTTTCCTCCTAGCCCCATGGAGAAGTCTTCAGATACTATGAGGTGTGTTTAGGCTACTATCACCACACCTCCCCTACCCCACCCCTCAGGCGGGCCTCAAACTCACCCTGAAGTCAAGGATGACCTTGAACTCCTGATCTCCTGACTCAACTACAAAGTTCTGGGATCACAGGCATGCACCACCTCACTCAGACATTGTTTTGAGGGCTGGAGAGATGGCTCAGAGGTTAAGAGCACTGACCGCTCTTCCAGAGGTCCTGAGTTCAATTCCCAGCAACCACATGGTGGCTCACAACCATCTGTAATGAGATCTGGTGCCCTCTTCTGGCCTGCAGTCATACATGCTGTATACATAATAAATAAGATCCGAGAGTGAGCTTGCCTGTCCACCCCAAGTCCTGCCTTTGGGGAATCCGTAAGGACAGCACCCCTTAGCCAAAGGAGGCGGAGACCTAGGTTTCGGATGAGACCGTAGAGTCTCTACCTGCCTGTCTTTTTTTTGTCTGTGAGATCCTGAAACGTGCCATTGCTGAAACCCCAAATGGATAGGTTGTTTGGATTTGTTTGGACTCGGGGATTTTCCCACAAAAGTGCCTGGTGTTCACGTGGACCTTTTCGACTTGGGAAATAAGCTCTTTGGTTGTGGTCTCAGTCACACCTGGGCCCTTCTGACAAGCACATCACCTAATTAATAGATCAATAAGTGTAGATTGAATGAGTGCGTGAACTCGAAAAGCAGAAGAGTGTCTTCTTTTTGCTGGCCGTGCTCTCCCAGGGTTCAGATTGAAAACCCATCACACAGGGAAGGAAGGACGCTGTTCGCAGCAAATGGCCAGAAGACTGGCAGCCTCAACCCCGCCCGGGCCCCGCCCCCGGCCCCGCCCCACGCCGCTCGCCCCGCCTCCGACGCGCCGTATTTACATCACAGCCTACCCTTCCACCTTCCCTCGCCACACTTCCTCTTTCCCCGCCTCCCGGCGACCCGGAAGTCAGACTTGCGGCGGGGCTTTCCTTCCCACAAGCCCTCGCGCCCGTCCTTTCCAGCTTGGGCCCGGCAGAGTAAGTATGGCCGCGGGGTCCCGGCTCCGAAATCCGGCTCCATCCTCTCCGGGCGCGGGGCAGGCCGGCTTGGTGGGGTTCGTTCCGCGCCGACCCGAGCTCGGCGGCTCGACGACCCGGGGCGGTAGGGCCTGCGCCGACGGAAGGCTCTGGGGCCGATGGAGGACAAGTTGGCGGGGCTCAGAGCGGCCGAGCCGCAGGGTTTCCGGGGCCGGGGACCGGCAGGGCCGGCTGCGGGCAACCCTGGGCGGATTCTGAGAGGTGGTGGAGGTGGTGGTGGCGGCGGCGGGGGAATCCGGCTCGGGGTTTTGCCCTGCCTGCTTAGCGCCTCCTGTCGCCTGCATGTAGATGGCTCCCGCAAAGAAGGGTGGCGAGAAGAAGAAGGGCCGTTCTGCCATCAACGAGGTGGTGACCCGAGAATACACCATCAACATTCACAAGCGCATCCATGGAGTGTGAGTACCATGGTCGGTCGGCGCGGCCCGCGAGCCCCTTCCGGCTTCTGGCTGTCACTCTCGAGCGTTGCCTGATTGCTCCTTGCAGACTTGGGCTTTAGAAAGCACGCGGGTTTGGTTTGGGGTTGTCTTTTTTTTTTTCCCCCAGTCTGACTGCGTGTACTTTGAAGGTGTGCAGGGTTTGGGGTGTACGGTACCGGTTAGTAACGAGGGCCGGGAGGTTGTGTTTGAACTTTAGGCATCAGCGGACTCGGGAAAGCTTGGTGGTGGCTAAAACGAGTGTTTTTGTAATCGGGACCACTAAAAGTAAAAGCTTGTGAAGGGAAACCTTTAATAATTTCTGTGCAGCAGGAGGTTAGCCAGTTGCGAATGGCTGAGCCCCAAATGTGAAAGAGGATTGTGTTCGTCCTCCGACCCATACTACGGGTCGAGTTGTAATACTGGAAATGCTAAGAGGCACGTAGGTTACCAAAGTTACAGTGCAGTGTATGGTCAAGACCCACGGCGATTGTGCGTTTATAAAGAGGCAGTTACAGGGAATGATTTGGGGTGCGTACTCCCCTTTGTACACGATTTATCTACATACATTCAGATGCCAGCATTTAGAGCAGGATTTCTTGGATTTGCCTGTTCAGACTCTTGTGACAGATTTCGCTGGGTCGAAATGTGTGTGGACATTTTCTGTGTTGTCCCGTGTGGGGTGTCTGCTGTGTGTGAATGCTGCTCGTGATCAGGTACATTCTAACCTCTGGTTGGGACATAGTGAGCACTGTCGGGCCCTGCCCTCCCAAGTTGACCAAAGCGGGAGAGGCGAAAAACGTTTTGAGTTGATGGTGGTTTTTTTAAGTGCCCAGTGTATTGGGTCCTTCTTTCATGAAAGGTGCTTGTGGGTGGGCATGGTTTTCAGACATTTTGTACCTTGTTGCAAAAGCCCTGTGTGAGGCTCTCCAGCCTCTCTCTCCTTTGGTAATGTCATTGGTTTCCATTCCAAACCAAACCTGCTCCCTGCTGTCTTCCTCTCCTGGCTTTCTCTATTTTATTGGTAATGCTGGCTCTGCCCTCTTGAGATCCAGTCTGATTGTGCATTTAAGTGAGGGCAGCAGCATCTTGTTTCTATTGGAACTGCTCAATGCTCCATCTCTTTCCTGGTGCATCCTTCTTGGTACTTGTAATTGATACCACCTGATGGGTTGCTTGCGCGAGCTCGGTCCATTAGACCGGCTGCTGTTATTTCTAACCCTGTTTTTCCAGGTATGTTGTCAAGTGGGCTTGTTTGGGAGCAGGCTGGTAGAGTGGAGAAAGCAATTCAGTGTGTCTCGCCTGGAGTGGGCCTGACAGGTGCTGGACACAACTGGACTTTGTGTGGGTGGTTTTGGATTTGAGGTCTTCCTGCCCAGCTTCCAGTGTTGTGGTTATCGGTGTGCACCATCTCCATGCCCTAGAAAGTTCGGTGGTTTTTTTTTTGTTGTTGTTGTTGTTTTAAATACAGGCTCCCTATTATGTGTAGTTGTGGTTGTCCTAGAACTAGCCATGTAGACCAGGCTACAAACAGGATTCAAACAGATCCACCTGCCTTTGCCTCCCAGATGCTAGGATTAAAGGAGCACAACACCACATCCAGCTCGTTTTGGGTTTTTGTGTTCATTTCATTGAAAGCATAAAATGTAGGTAAATGGCTGCCGTGATTCCACAGAATGCTGCCTTTCTCTGTACATGTTTGCCTGTGTGTATGGGCATCATATAGATGCTGGGAGCCAAATCTGGGTACTTGGCAAAAGCAAGTTTTCTTTCTTAACCACTGAGCCATCTCTCCAATCCCCAGCATTTCAGGACTGCTGTGAGAGTAGACCACGTTTGTGAATGATAAATTGGGAAAGCATGGCACTTTGTGCTTGGATTGTGGGATATCTAGTGTTTATTTCAACTTCTTGTTCCAAGTGCTGGTGCTAGGTCCTGGACATTTCATGCTTGTAAGGATGTGTTTCTGACTGCTTCGATTGTTTTATGAGGGCATGCATTTCTATATTATGTGTAATCTATGATTAATTTTATATCCTTGTGTTTTGAACCTCAGGGGCTTCAAGAAACGTGCCCCTAGGGCACTCAAAGAAATCCGGAAATTTGCCATGAAGGAGATGGGTACTCCAGATGTGCGCATTGATACCAGGCTCAATAAAGCCGTCTGGGCCAAAGGAATAAGGTACTGAAGTTATATTTGTGACGATGATGCCAGTTATTCCTTCTGCATAGTCCGTGTGACAAATTCAGAAGTTTGGTTACCAGATGTGGAGTATAAATATAAAGGACAGTGGCTCTAAGCTCGTGTCATTTGTTGTAAGTAAGGGAGAGAGCAGTGTTAGAGCTTGATGGGATCTGGGAGAGATTGGGACGTGGAAGCGCTCCATTGGGAGCATGAGAAGCTCAGAGAAAGCGGTGGTTCTGAGCCTGAGGTGCTGGCCAGCCCCGAGGAAAGGATCCTCCTGCTGCCTGCCCAGGGGTTGATTTGTGTCATGTCCTATAATATGAGAGGGTTCTCACAGAGGTTTATCCAACAGGGTTGTAAATAATGCTGAGGTTGGGAAGTCCCCTGGAAGGGGGGAGTAAGTAGGAAGGGGGTGCTGCTTGCTGCTGGCAGTATTTAACCCTGCAACCTCTAAAGTGGGGCTATATTAGATTATCCAACAAGGAACTACAGTACCTGCCTTGGGGTAAGGGGAGTGGGGTCACAGGGACATGAGAAGGAGCCTTGTGGGAATCTGGGGCCTAAGAACACCTAGCACATCCTGAGATGGTGAGGGAAGGAGATAACTGAGCTGCACTGCTTCTGAAAGGGAAGGGTTGTGGGTGCCTTTCATTTGAATTAGTGGCTATTTCTGTCGACAGCCATTTTCTGCCTAAGAACAATTGGTTTTTATTGGTGGCTGCCTTAATATATCGTAACAAGCATGCATCTTGAGAAAGCAGCTTGTTGCTCATTCACCTGGGTATATTTTCAAGGTGAGATAAAAGTGTTTATCAGAGCATTAGAAGCAGGAATAGATATGTGAGTGCCACTAGTAGCTGGTTCCTGACAAGCATTGACCTTCATGACACATTTATATCTTATTAGGAATGTTCCATACCGTATCCGTGTACGTTTGTCCAGAAAACGTAATGAGGATGAGGACTCACCAAACAAACTCTACACACTGGTAACCTACGTACCTGTTACCACATTCAAAAGTAAGTTCCATGCTCTTCCACAATTTCACCAAATTATAACAGGGAATTACTATTATCTTTAACCCAAAACTTGTTCATGAAATGTTAGGTGCCTTTCTTCAGTGAAGAGATGAGTGGCAGGCAAAATTATCAGACCTTTATGTAAAACTGTCTGGTGTGGGGGAATGCAAAATAGTGACGTTCATGTGAGAGTGGAGTGTTGTGCAAGTGCTCTAGAGATGGGGTGTTGACTGCCTGTCGCTTCTTCCTTCTAGATCTGCAGACAGTCAACGTGGATGAGAACTAAGCCACAGAGTGTCAAATAAAGTTGGAGAACTACCTTCAGGTTTTGGTTTTCCTTTTTGTTATCTGTCCCACCGGTGGAGTCTTTGGTATTGTTGGGAGTTATTTAGAACCACTGCGCTGGGGACATGGGAAACGAATTATGTGTGTGACGTGTTCTCTTCACAGAAATCCATGTATTAGAGTTGTGGGTTTTGGTTTTTCAAGATAGTTTTCTCTGTGTAGTTCTAGCTGTCCTGGAACTTGCTCTGTAGAACAGGCTGGCCTCAACCTCAGATCTGTGTACCTCTACCTCTGAAGGGTTGGAAATAAAGGCAGGTTCCACCATGTCTGGCTTGTGTGGCTTTTAGCAAAGAAACTACAGTAGTAGGGTCTCGCTTTAGTCCCAGGTGTGTATGTGAGCCTAAAACTAAGGACTGAGGTTAGAACTGTTACATGACACTGAAAGTCTGCTGTGTGGGTCCCGGGAATTGACCTTAGCTAGAAGACCAAAGCTGACAACCTGTCTTTACCAGCCACTACATTGCATTTCCTGGAATATGCTAGACCCTTAAGACAGCGTAAGGTTTTTTTTGTTTCGTTTTTCAAGACAGGGTTTCTCTGTAACATGCCTGGCTGTCCTGAAAAATCTGTAGACCAGGCTGGCCTCAAACTCACTCGAACTGCCTGCTTCCTTAGTACTATTGTTTTGGTTCAGTTTTTTAATTTAAAAGAGTCAGTACAAAAAAAAAAAGATTTTTATTAAAAACTGGGGGGAGGGGCGGGCAACATTGAAAGCATGGTTTGTTTTGGGGAGGACATACAAAGTGATTACAACGAAATATATTAAAATGGTTTCAATTACCAGCATTGAAACAAAATTAGTGCAAAAAAAGCCAAATACAGTTGTGCAGACAATGGTTCTGGGATCTTGGAGGTGAGCCTGTCTCTTGACCTCTCCCATTACCAGTGGTACATGAGCCTGGGGTTGATGTCTCTTGGTTACTGTGACATCTTTTTGTCCATCAAAGGATAAGCTCATAGCAGAAACACTGGTTTCAGCAAAGTTGATAGTCACAGTGTAAAGGGCATTCCACCTCTGACGACCTCCTAATAAATAGAACTGTGTGAGAGTTGCAGCAATTCCCCGGCCGTGGCTCTGAGGTTGGTTATCCACATACTCAACTCAGACCGAAATCTGGACAGTGACTGACAACAGTCCAGTCCGTGCTTTGGTGTGGTGGGCTCCAGTGTGTTCCCCGACAATTCCTGGCTACAGGTTATTCAGCTTCAGTTCAGGCTGTGGTGGGTGGCTCATTTCCAAAGCTTTGAGACTGTACTGATGGAGCTTGGCATTTTCAAGTTTGGATTTAATGTTGAGTGGCTTTTCAAAAAAGTTGACCAGTGACTGCTCAGTGAGAAGGGAGGCCAGGATGTGTTCCAGGGAGACAGTCCAGTCCCCTTCCCCTGCCTCAGGAAAGGCCCCAGGGTCCTGGGGAGTCTTCCCAGTCTCAGCAAAAACCGAGTCCTGTTCAGGAGAAGGAGCTGAGGCCTGCAGCTCCTCCCCACATTCCTGGGAGCAGCTTCCGGAGCTGCTGCTTCGCTGGCCCACCTCTCCTATCTGCAGTAGCAGAGTGGTTACTGTGGCGATGGCCTGGTACAGCTCGTTTTCCTCTGGGTCTTCATGGAACATGCTGTACAAAGTCTTACAGAACTGGATAAACTCTCTCTAGAATTAAAAAACATGAGGATTGAAGTGTAATTTATACTATCAGAAAAGCATGTACCATTTCATTTTTGTTCGATAGGAGCTCACTGTTTTAATTTTTAAGACTGTCCACAACCTGTAGTCTTCCTGCCTCACCGACAAACACTGGGTTACAGGTGTCTACTACTAGTTCCTTGTTCTACGTGCAGAATATATAAAAAGTTAGTGAGAAATGCCAACTCGGGATGCACACATTCTCCAAAGAAAGTCCAGAGCTACACTCGCTTTTTAATGGGAAAATGGCATGTGGCACATATCTCTAAACACAATGTTTAGGGAACAGGCATCCTAGGGCTACAGAACAATTACCTTACATTCAGTGATTAGATGGAACTCCCACAGTTACTTTATGACAGCTAAAGTAAGGTATCTACTGTAACTTGATGGCTAGTTTATACCTGGGTGAAAACAGTGACCGGTGTTCCAAGTTAGATTAGTATAAGGTTTTTCAGGGACTCATTTGGTCAGCTATTGTGGAGGGGTAGTAGACTAAGTAAATATTTGAGGTCTGTCAAGTGTTATTTGGTGGTGGTGGTGGATATTTTCTTAAGATAGCTAAGTCACCCAGAGCTGTCTGTACTATCACATTTGTAAGGAACAGAAAGTTACCACCCATATAGAGCTGGGAGGACCAGGGACTGCCAACCTAGCTTAAGGTTCAATGAGAGACTTGAAGGAAGGTAGAAGACACCCATTTAGCTTTTATGACAACCTACTCATGCTCTAGAGCCTCCCGGTACATGGCACGAAGAAACATTCACATCTTATACAGGGGCATTCAAAACCTTAAGCCTATATATTTCTCACATGCTGGCAAGAAGACCCTTTTCAAATTAAACCTGAATACTTAAGAATCCTTTTCTGGGAAATGGTCAGAGGTATGGGAGACTTGAGTAGTGGTTCTCATTCTGCAGCCTCCTGTTTGGAGGAGGTGACTTGATCACAACACTGGTCTGGGAAGTCATAAGATCCATGGGCCCACGCTGCCAAAATGGTTTGTTTTCTTCCCAAACGAAGTCCTTACCTGGCTCATTTTGGGCAACTCTTTCTCCGTTTTATCCTTTTCTTTGGCTAAATCTTTAATCATCTGTTTCAGTTGTTTCTGATAATCAATTGTGTCACCTTGAAAAAGGGAAACAACAGTTTAAATTCTATGAAAGCTATGGAATTGGGATAGTAAGGGAACAGGGTCCCGCTAAGCAAATTTCATATACAGCCAAATAGCACGATTACATTTTCACAACAGACTATAGCCCTGTCCTAGGACCTTCCTGTAAAGAACCCTAGAAAGATGGAAGCAGCAGAAGGGACTCTGTGAACAGGCAGTCAAGCAACACTGGCCATGGGCTGAATGGTGGTAACGGGGAGGGGACAGGCTGCTAGGAGCAGATAAGAACAGATACTTGCCATTGGGCTTACCCAATACCAGGGGTCTTGATGTTGACAGCAGAGGATTCTTCAATGGTGACTGGCTGTCTCTGTCATTTTCAGTGAGTGCTTAAAAGAAAATACTGAAATTGGAAACATTCTCTGCTTAACTGGAAAAGCTAGACCCAAAGGCTAAGCCACCAGTTCCCAATATTGTTGTAAAGGTACAGAACCTGTAAAGCCAAATGAAGAATAAGCAAAATCTGTTCTATGTATGTAGACATGACTGAGTAGCATACAAATCCATGGGAAGCACTGCTGATGGTGACCTGGAAACAGCAAACCCCAGTAGCATTGTCCTGACAGCGAGTGAGTACAGAATTAGGGTATTTAGATAGTGTAAGTGGGGGTTGAGAGGGAGAGGGGTGTTGAGACAGGGTCTTTACATACACAGCCCTGGCTCCTATACAATGTACCTTTTTAAGCAGCATTGGCTTCCAAAGAGCATCATACTGGTGTTTTTTGGCTTTTCAAGACAGGATTTTTCTGGAGCTCTGGCTGTCCTGTACACTCCATTGTAGACCAGCTGGCCTCAAACAGATCCCTCTGCCTCTACCTCCTAAGTGTGCCTGGCCCAGACTGGTTTTTGTGAAGTATACTAAGAATAAAACACCAGAAGTCTCGTGCTAGGAAAAACAAAAGGGTTCAGCCAGTTTGGAAAACATTTGGGTGTTTCTCAAACTTAGCTAAATGGTGGTTCATGCCTTTAATCCCAGCAGAGGAAGGCAGATCTACACAGTGAGCTCCAGACTCTGCCTCAGAACAAGTTTTCAGATAGCCAGCCGTTCAGAGCACAGGTTGCAGGGCTGGAGAGATGGCTCAGAGGTTAAGAGCACTGACACCTCTTCCAGAGGTCCTGAGTTCAATTCCCAGCAACCACGTGGTGGCTCACAACTATCTGTAATGGGATCTGGTGCCCTCTTCTGGCCTGCAGGCAGAACACTATATACGTAATCTTTTTTTTTTTTTTTTTTTTTTTAAAAAAAGCAGCACAGGTTGCTCTGCCAGAGGACCCAGGTTTGATTCCCAGCATACATTGTGGCAGTCAACTGTTGTATAACTCCAGTCCCAGGGGATCTGGCCTCTGGGCAGCGAGCAAAAATAAGGTGAAACCCCACTTCTGTATCATCTACTCGGGAGTAGGGAAACTTTGTGTAAAACTGATAGTAACAACCCTAGCAGCAGTGGTGGTCCTAGCCACACAGGGAGCGCTCGTTAGACCAGGACAATACTACAACATGGACCACTGAACAGTTACCAGCAGAAGCCAGGCAGTAGTGGTACACAGTGTATCCACTTAACACCTGGATAGGCAACACCACAGGCTGCAGGAACATGGGCTGGTCCAGGGCAAGGGTTTTTAGGATGATGGACAGGTGATTATAGAGTCATTGCACTCCTTAATAAAAGTTACCTAGGTTGACAAAAGTCTAGTTGTAAAAGACTGGAACTTAGTTTAAAATTAAGATGTGCTTTAAGAAACTTTCCACAAGATGGCCCCAAACAACTATCTGGGATGGCAACTCAGTTTGGCCTAAAATTTTAGGCAGTGGCCCCTGTGAGTCCACTCAAAATGTACAGGAAAATTAGGGAACCTCACTGGTAGAACAGTGAAGAGCCTGTCCCAAGGAGAATTGCATACACGAGCCACTAGGCAAGTCCTGGAAGAACCAGTACATGCAGCTGTAATGATAGAAAAGAGAACTGAGTAGCTCGAGCACTTACAGGGAGCGTGGCCTCGTTTTTATATTTCTGTGTATATGTAGTGGGTGGTTCTACACTGTAAATGGGTGGAGACATTCCTACATTAAGGCTTTCACTGTTGGACTTGGTTATTGGAAACTTGCCATTCCAGACTCGTATGATGACTCACCTCTTGACACCATGAGTAGGAAAATCAAAGGTAGTGATGGACCAGAGAGTCAAGTCCAGCACAGCTGGGACTGTGCAGCTCCCCGGTGCCTCCCTCAAATGTAGACTAGGTGGCCCTGCACCTGCGCAAGCCCACAGCCCCTCAAGTAGCTTTGCAGTCTATGGGCGAGGTAGGTTTGCCCCAGCCTTTTGAGTTCACTACTGACCATCCACTGGAGGAATTGTCACTGCACCAAAGCCAGCAACTGAAGACCACTCTGGTGGACATGAGACACTTGTC